TTAAGTGATCCATTATGGAGGATTTAAACTCGAATGACTTATCATGTTTACCATTCTATAATTTAAATGATAAGGAACTAAGGGCTTTAAATGGCTCATGGTTCCATGATATAGATTTTAGCAAAGAATTATATAATTTAATACCCAATCCTGATAAATTTGATGATGCAGATCCTGATCTTGCACTTACTACACCAGTATCTGATTACTACACCATACCACAAATAAACAAATTTATAGATACAAATAAACAAAATGACTTATTTCTTTATCACTGCAATATAAGGAGTCTTCCAAAGAACTTGTCACTCTTGAATGATGTATTATATTCTCTTAATAAAAACCCAGATATACTAGCTGTAACTGAAACAAGATTAAATAATGAAACTGTATCTAATATTGATTTATGTAATTATAATTTTATTCATGATGATTCTGTAACATCAGCTGGTGGCGGGCTGGTATATACATATCTACTGACCTAAATTTTATTGCACGGTCCGATATAAAATTTCAAATGCAACTAGTTGAGTTGACGATGTTGTGTTTCCATTTGAATATTACACATAAGCAGAATGTTGGAACTTTAAGTTCCAACATTCTGCTTATGTAATATTCAAACGGAAACACAGAGAAAACAGGTTTATTTAAGGGATTATAGGAAATTTGATAAAACTAAATATTTAGCTGATATTAATAAGCAATTATTGGATGAGGCTGAGCATGATATCAAGAATTATTCAGACCGAGGTCAATGTTATCTGCCGAAGCGAAGCTGAGGCGGATAACATAGACCGAGGTCTGAATAATTCTTGATATTGTGCGAAAGTCGAATCCAATAATTGTTTTATTATACATTTAAAGACATGAGAAATGTATAAAACGATTCCTGTTCATGAGGTAGGAAAAGTACAATTTCAATATCAAACACCTTGCACAAAGTCAAAGGTCAGCTAAATATTCTATTTCTACTTCTATTTACCCCTTTGTGGCTTTTTTCGTGCTTTCACTATCCTTATCTGCCAATAATTTGGGGAGTTCACTTTCATTCAGCGAAGCAAATCTGCTGTCGGCCATTGTTTGTTTGTTTTTTTCGCGCGCTTATAGGTTCAAGCTTTTGACCGCGCAAGGGTTTGGGCACGAGAGAGTCCAATAATTTTTTTTTTGGATGCAAGTTCGATCCAAAAAAACAATTATTGGACGCTGATGACGTCATTGGCGGAAAATACGTAATAAATGCCGAATACTGAAAATTAGCCGGTGCTTTCTGACCAATTAGAAACGAGAATACGTATTAAATGTATAATAATCACATTAACTGGAACAATATTTTTAATGAAAGTAAAGATCTACATGAAAAGACAACCAAAACAATAAATGCAATAAATGCAGTTATAGATAGGTATGCTCCAATTATACCTGCATCTAAAACCAAAATTAAACAGTTACATAAACCTTGGATCACAACAGGTATATTAAAATCGATCAAAATAAAGCAAAATGTATCACACTCACTTTCTGTCAAAAAATGCAGATTTAATAAGAAAATACAAAAAATATTCGAATATGCTAAATCAACTAAAATCTAAAAGTAAGAAGGACTACTTCACTAAACGTTTTCACTCAAATGCAAGTAATCTTAAGCACACCTGGAAGTTAATAGGAACGTTGATAAAGCATAAAACTAAAGATCAAGTATGCCCTTCACGACTTATAAACAATGGCAAAACATTCACTAGCGAAAATGATACTGCAGAGCAATTTAATGATTATTTTATCAACATCGGTCCGAAACTAGCAAATTCAACTGGGCAAAGCAATGATGATCCGACAAAATATATAAATAAAGTTCCTTCATATCCCAGTATCAGAAGATGTTTCTTACTTGTTTTCAAAACTTAATGATAATAAAGCGTCAATAGATATTCCAAACAAATTAATCAGAATGGCATCTTTACCTCTTTCTGTACCTTTTACACAGATTTACAATGAATCAATTGCAACAGGAATTGTTCCCGATTCTTTTAAAGTTTCTAGAATAACACCCATCTTTAAAAGTGTCACAGAAACTGACCCTGGCAATTACAGGCCTATTGCAATACTATCACCATTTAGTAAAATCCTGGAGAGAATTATATATACGACCAGCTTATGTCATTTTTGAACAAACATGACATATTATTTAAATATCAATTTGGATTTAGGAAAAATCATTCAACTGAACAAGCAATTCTTGAGCTAAGTGACAAACTAAAAACTGCAATTGATGACGGATTTACTACATGTGGTGTATTTCTTGACTTTTCTAAAGCTTTTGATACCGTAAATCATGATATTTTATTGAAGAAACTTTACAAAATTAATATGGTATTAAGAGGAATTACTCTTGATTGGTTTACTTGCTATTTGAAAACTCGAACCCAGTATGTAAAAATAGGGAAAGCTGAGTCAATGTCTCAGACTATTGTATGTGGTGTACCACAGGGTTCAACACTTGGATCCTTACTATTCCTTTTGTATATAAATGACATGCCAAATTCGTCATCAAAATTGTCATTCAGAATATTTGCTGATGATACAAATCTATTTTTCAATCAGGGAACATCGATGAACTAGAAAATGTTATGAATAATGAACTCCAAGGTGTTATGACATACTGTAAGATAAATAAATTATCAATTAACACAAAAAAAAATAATTATATGATAATAAACTCTCCACAACGAAAATGTAGAAAAATTTGTATTTTAAATCTTGAGCAAAATCATTGTGTTAAATTAAATACTTGGGTGTATTTTAATGACCATTTAAACTGGAAAAATCAAATAAAACATAGTAATAGCAAAATTTCAAAGAATTTAGGAATTTTGTACAAATTGTGGGGTTACATGAACTTAAAAATATTAAAGCATCTGTATTATACATTGGTCTATCCATATTTTAATTATGCTGCTACAAGCTGGGGAAATACTTACAAAAGCAAATTAACAAAAATTTCTACCAAGCAAAATAGATGCATTCGATGCATTTTTTGTGTAGATAGCAGGGAAAATATAAATCTTTACTATAATATCCTCGGAGTCCTTAAGCTAGAAAATATTATCAAACTAAAAACTGCAATTGTTGATTGATCATGATTCCAACATTCCGGTGGCATTCTCTGACTTTCTCAATCCTGTTCACTTACTACATAATTACAACACAAGACTTGCATCTAAACTAAATTTCTGTAGACCTCAAGTAAGAACTAATTATGGCAAGTTTACTTTCAAATATACTGCATCAGTTTTGATATCTATGAACATCTGTGGTGATTTCAACTTAGCACAAATCTAACTTGTATTTCTATTTGCATATTCCTAGCATGGTCTATGGATCTGCGTATATCATCATTCCTTCAAATCTTTTTTGTGTGTGTGTTTTTTTTAATATTCTTAGCTCAAATACACTAAAAAATCTCACATAGACAGTAGTCAACTCGAAAGCTTCTTGCTACTTTGACTACTGGGCATAATTTAACTAAGTTATCATTTATTCTATTATAATAAGTAATTTTAACTATTTTTTGTAACATTTGTACGTTCTTGAATTCTTTTTTTTTGTATATATTGCAAATCATTAAAAATCTGAAATCTGTAAGATTTAAATTATTTAGCAAAATAAACATTTTCAACCTAGTAACAGATTATTAGCTTGAATAGCGTAACGTAAATGACTGTGTAGTAAAATATCAGCAGCAACGCTTGAATGTAATTTGCTTATGCCTCAGTAATTAACAATGCAACGCCACAGAATAGGAAGTTATACCAGAAGCGTAACTCGAGCAAATATTTGTCCGCGTTTTTACAAGCGATTCGTCATCAATCACGCCATCCTGGCTACAATCGTGGACAAAACCTGTTAATAAAACTCGCAGTTATGTACATTTTTGTTCAATATTTGTTAATACATGCGCATCACGCCACATGGGCCCCCTCTCCCCCCGGAACAATGTTGCAGTAATGGGTCTATAGTGTGGGGATGGCGAATCCAACATTGAATGGGGGAAAGGGGGGCAGAATGTGGAATACAATTTGGTTAATGCAATTTCATTATGATACTAATTAGTTTTATTAACAGTTTTGTCCACGATTGTCTGTGAAGTGTTCCACAAGAAAGCGCACGTCCATTCGGCCAGCAATGTTCCTCAACATACATGTGTATTGATGAAAACACTAAAAATAATTGTTTACATTATTGGAACATGAAATTGGATCTAGTTTCTATTGATGTTGCAAAATAAATAGCTTAATACTTTCAAGAAATTAACATTATATAATTAGGTTGTTTGTCTCAGATTTATATTACTATTAATACCCTAAAAATAGATTTGTAAGAATGACGTCGCATGCATATTATTAGACCACGGTTAACCATTCTCTAAAATTGCATTAGAAACACTGAAATAATACTTTTATATACTTTGCTTTATCCAAGCTGGTATATATGCTTTATTATCTGCAGGTAACGTCAAATTAAGTGTTATATCTTGCCTGGATTTGGCTAAAATACGACGGATAATGACGGTTAACCACTAGAATTAAACACAGATCATACTTTGTTTACTTTATGCAATTTTCGTTTAAACATCATGAACAGCTAGAAAATATGCGTTTTCAAGTGTTTTAGATTATGGGTTTGCTTTCTTTGATTGACAAAATACTCTAAAGCTATGGGAACATGAAGGTTGGAAAATAAAACTATGTATATTAAGGGAAAATTCTAACACACTATTCTGGTTGACCGTGGTTAACCGTGAGTTTAATATGACAAAATTAATTAAGTCGATGTCGGGCAAATATTTCAATGCTCTCATGCCAGCGCTCCGACAGCAGTTTGATTCGTGTAAAATACGTTAAAACTACCATGCTGTAAGTTTATTCACATGCGAATTATATATAGCTTCATGAAATAAGAAATAACCGATTATTTGGAACAGAACTTTCTGCAGCTTACACGCATATTAATTAATTAACTCTATATTTCACAAGCAGTATGCATTAATAAAATTTATTATATAAAGTCAATATCGAATTCTCTTCCCTTTTCTATTTACAACAAGTTCAATGCGATTACTCATGCTTTCAATGATTTTGTCAATTACAATGTTATCAAAATTGAGTATCGTAGATTGTACTCGTGCGGAAAATTCTTGAAAATTTTCTTTCTTTATATTTTGTACAATTGCATTATTGTTCAGTTGATTTTTAACGAGGTGAAATAGATTTTCGATCGGGTTTAGATCTGGACTACGTGCCGGTATTGATAGTAATTTTGCTCGTATGGATTTCATTGCCGTTTTCGCCGCTGCACTATTTTGACTAGGATCTCCATCCTGCAGCCAGAGACGAGAGCGACCTTTTCGTGCCTTTTTGAACATTTGGGGAAATTCTCTGAGCACCAGATCTTTAAAATACGGCCCGTCTAACTTATTATACTGATCGCATAGCACAACGCCTGCCCCATGGCTTATTGCAACCATCATTTTGACAAGCTTCCCCCCAGATCCTTCGTGACTGCCCTTGGCCGTGCATCCTCTATCCATGCCTTCATTAGGTTTCCTCCAGATTCTGCCTTTTGGTGCTCTGGCCTCGTCCGCTGGATTTGTTTTGTGTGTGAAGCTAACTCCATCCAGATAAAACGCTATTTGCTTTGTCCAAACCTCACTGCTGTAATCCTTTTTCATCATTTTTGCAAAGTTATATCGCTTTCGAATATCAGTCTTACTTAATATTCCTTTTTTCCTTGCTTGCAGATAATGGTATCCATTTTCATTCAAAAAACGCCGCAATGTGCGTGAAGAAATATCCTTTGGGTTTATTCCTGAGTTGAGAAGCAATTTTTTAGAAGTAAAATTGCTATTTTCCTCTCTTAAAATATTAATATTTCGCAGAACAGAGCGTTTTTGTCTTAAAGTCAGTTTCTCAGGCCTGCCACCACCTCTTTCGTTTTTCTGCTTTTGTTTGAAATCCTTTTTAAATTTCTCATTCCATATTCTATATACACTTGGCAAAGACACTCCGCATTCTTCTGCAACTTCTTTAGCTGTACGCATTCCAGTTTTCCCCACTAGTTTTATGTATGCTCCCTTTTCTGCTGAAAACTTTCCAGTAAACACCATGTTTAATACAATTTTTAGCATTATACACTGGATGTCTATGACGTCATTAATTGTACAATAATTACATGTAATTGGTACAACATTTATGATGTAATACTAACGTCATATGAACCTTAGTACATCATTCCAGTACCCTTAACCGCTTTTCAAGCGTTCGAAATTATGGACATATCAGTCATTACAGGTCAGACAATCGTGGACAAAACCTGTTAATAAAACTCGCAGTTATGTACATTTTTGTTCAATATTCGTTAATACATGCGCATCACGCCACATGGGCCCCCTCTCCCCCCGGAACAATGTTGCAGTAATGGGTCTATAGTGTGGGGATGGCGAATCCAACATTGAATGGGGGAAAGGAGGGCAGAATGTGGAATACAATTTGGTTAATGCAATTTCATTATGATATTAATTAGTTTTATTAACAGTTTTGTCCACGATTGTAGTACAACCGGCACTTTGTACCTACCAAATCCTGATAAAAACTTCCGGCTGTACTAGCCAGGATGGCGTGGCCTGACGTGAGCGAGTTAAAATTTTCGTGGACGTCAAACAATAAGGGAAACGACTAGAGTTACGCTTCTGGTATAACTTCCTATTCTGTGGCAACGCTTTAACCAGACTGTTAACCATGGCTATAAATGTTAAAAATTATTGTAGGCAATGCTTTGGGATGATAAATTTGTAGTTTTTCTATTTATTAGACATGAATGAACTTCCTTTTAAATGTTTAAATCATAATTATGATTACCATTTGCTTATTTGGGCTTTTAAGCACGGTTCACCATGATATTGATAAAATGTTTGATGTCTTTAATAGCTTTAAAAACAAGAGGTTAACCGTAGCTGCATGAACATCGTATTTGTGCACAATTCGCAGTTGTGATAACTTGATCTTCTCTGATACAATCCTGCATTTTCTGGAAATGTCAAAAATGCTACAATGTCAACACAAGTATGCCAGCAAACATAACATTTCTCATTATTGTCGGTGGTTAACCGTCACAGTTAACCATGGTTAACTGTTCAGCGTGACATGAAACCAAAGGTAGATATTAGCCCCAAGGCACGAACTATACAGTTAACAAGAGCAGAAGATGCACAATTAATTTGTCTAATGCATTTTTTCACTAAGCCTTCTCCAAACTCTAAGTTTATGTACTGCACATGCATGTCGGTGCATCAAAAGCACTTGCAAATCTATCTGGTTAAATTAACATATAGTGTTGATCAGCGGTTTTTTGTTTGTAAAAGCAGATATAGTCGAAAAAATAATGTTTTTTGTCTCGTCTTAAAAAGCTTAAAAATCTCGACTGAAAGGAATATACATTGTGAACCGTAAAGCCCTCAGCAGCTGATTGGATTTTAACAGGGAAAACTGCAATTTATTGAAGGCAATCATGGACAAAAGTGTTAATAAAATCAATCGACATTTTAGGAAAATACAATCAAACAGTTTTATACAGCCCCACTCCCCCACCCAATGTTGCCATGATTTTCCTCTCATTTTAATTGTAGTTCAACAACATTGTGTTGGGGGGGGGGGGGAGGTTTTAGACAAAATACAGGAATTAAACCACAATTTAAACTCACACAGACAAATTAAAATTTTATTAACAAGTTATGTCAACGATTGTAGATCTTCAGGTTTGTTGTTGAATATATTCAAAACTTCAATGTCTGTTATTTCATCTTGCTTTTCAGGTACGCCATGGATGAGTATTCAAACAATTCCTTCTGCCATATTGTTCTAATTCAGCAAGGTTGTCTTGCAACTTCCCACATTGATCAGCAAAGTTTCTTTGAAGTGATTTTAGTTCCACAATTTTTTCATTAGCACTGGAAACGGCAAAGGATAGACTTTCATAAACTTGCTGTTTTACATCTTCCAAAATTGCCCTTGCAATAAAATTGCCCTTTCATAAAATTGCCCTTTCATAAAATTGCCTGTTAAGCTTGATAATTTAGTTGACACATTACCAACAAAATTTTCGTTTTCCATAATACTCTGAGCAATACACATGGAAACTGCCTGAGCAATTCTATGATGGTTTTGTCTTTAGAAATTAGCTCAAATATACTTTAGATCAGCAGGTTTGACAGTGCCACTACTTTTTGTTTGTGATTCATGTTGTTCTTGGTTGGACATGTTAAAATTCAATGATTTAACTGATACTTTGCCAATTCGCTGTTAGTGTTTGCGATTCTGACTGACAATATGATTAACAACGTGCTTAAAAATGTTTGAATGGAAGAATATTTATTTTGATATAACCCTAAAAGATAATGGCATATTAAGGAAAAAATTGTTCAGTGCACTTTGATATACATCCTACTCAGTCGCCATCTGCAAGGTAAGTTCCATCAACATTGACACCCATGCCAAATGTGATAGTACAAAATACTACCCAAACCGTCCAATTAACTGTGCAAAATTCTCTCTCCACTACATCTTTAACTAAGTGGTGTGTCTTCTTGTGGGTACATCGCAAAAAGTCTTGTTTGATCATCCATAGGCCCTTGCCCTGTGGGCAAAACATAAGACTCTGGTCCAAGTGCCTCATGAAATGCTTCATACAAATCCTTAACATGGGCTCTTTTTCTACAAAATCTCAGGACTTTCTGTGTATTCAGCTTTCTTGTTTTTAGCTCATCTATCAGCCATTGGAAGATTTTGAAAGATCATTGCAGGAGTCAATTACAGACACAGAAATCTAATGTTAGGTTAATTTGATGTGGTTACAAGCTGGACACAGTCTTTCATTGCTAAATCCTTGAAGATCAAATTCCTGACACGACACTATCCTTGTACTTTTCCAAAATGTTGCAGTCAATGAAGAAAAGCCATCCGAGGGAAGTGAAATCTCGACAAGACTACCTGTTTCTCAAGATCGGATTTCAGTCAGGCTACGATCAAAGGTGACGTGTCAGGAACTTATCCGGATGGGACCAATGAAACATAGAGGAGAGATAGACATATCAGCACAAGATACATTGACCGCGGTATTATCGAATGGTGAGCCTAATTCCTCAACCGTAGACGAATGTCCTGTTGGAAACGTATCAATTGCTAGTGTCACTAATACAGCTGAAATGGTTGCAATCACGCCAGAAGATGACGTACGTTTAACAACAACAAGCCCAATAACAGATGCAAGCGGCATTCCTTCCATGAAATCAATCAGTTTGGACTATTTTCTGTGGCTGGTTAATCGACTATCAAAAAGGGCGGCCGATGAGAATTCTTTTGTTCCAGGATTCACAGCCGTTAGAAGCTCGTTAACTAATTTAAATTTTCATGACACCACAAAGATTCTTACTCCAATCTTACCGTATCCAGCTACTACATACGATGCAATATTCACCACAATGATAAATTTCCAAGACGCTCTCAAGCAGAAAGGAGATACGTATGGCGGTTTGTGGGCAGACGAAGGTGTATACCGCATTGCAAAAGAAATTCAACTCCTAAAGCCAGATAAATTTAGCAACATATTTCTTGGTCTTGGAGGGTTTCATATGGAGAAAATTGTGTTCACGTGTCTTGGCGCATATTTGGAACCGTCGGGAATATTTTCTGTTTTAGTCGAAACCGAGTGCTATGGTACGGATGCTATCAATGGTGTGATTTCTGGTTCCTATTATTCCAGGGCTCGTACAGCCCATTCTTCGATCAACGAGGTTATCATGTCCTTGATGCTAGAGGCATTTCAAGCAGAATATCCAGAAAAGAGTGACCTATTTGAAGACCTTTTAGCAGACTGTCAATCTGAGGAGATGACAACTGATTATTGGAACACCATAAAGGAGCAGTCTAAAGATATAGAGGAAGACTTCAAAGATTTC